ATTTCGGTCGTTAACGTCACGAGTTTAATTCTGCGCCCTTGCGCCCATCCGAAGCCGTGCTTCACCTTTATACGCTGAACGGAGCCGTGCTCCAACAATTGTAACTATTAACAATTCTTTTGCGCCGTGCGTAACACGTTTTATACAAGTTTACGTGGACTGTGGAGTCCAAAATAAATCAGCAAGCGACACGACGTCGGACTAAATCGTTTTCGTCTCCTTACGACCTCCGGCAATTATTTTGTGCCGTGCGCAACATTTCTGGTCCTTAGATACAGACATCTCTATCAGCAGCGTCGATCACGCAGTCGATGGACGCATACGAGCACGCCACTGCACGATCACGCAGTCGATCGTCGAGTAAAACGCTACAAGAACTGCTGCTGTTCCCGGGTCCAAAATGGAGCAGTTTATTAAGGAACAGGAGTTCACCATCGGTGGACTTTGCCGTATCCTGCCTAATTTCAAGCGCCTGGGAAAGGCGAAATTCTCTGAAGCCGCCGCCGAAGAGCGCCTTCGCCGCCTGCGGACCGAGTGGGACTCGTGCTGACGCCTCCACCTCCAGTTGGAGCTGAAGGCCACCGCCGAAGACCGGGAGACCCGAGACTATTTCAAGCAAGGGTACTTCGAGCGGGCCGAAGCAGAGTTTGAACAGACGAGTGATCTTTTTGTGGAGTTGGTCGCTTCATTTAGGAGCGGGGCGTTTGCGCTGGCTGACGCGAGCCAGGTTAGGGATCCAGAGTCCTGTAGCGCGCCCGTGGCGCAGCTACCGCGAGTCCCATTGCCAAGGTTCGCCGGCTGCTACACGAAGTGGCCGAGCTTCTCTGACCAGTTTGAGTCGCTGGTCGTGAAGAACCGGACTCTTCACGACGTCCAGCGACTGTAGTACCTCAAGGGTGCTTTAGAAGGAGAAGCAACGTCCGAGATTGCTCACTACTCCGTGACAGCGGCGAATTTTGGCATCGCGTGGGCGGCCTTGGTCAGGAGGTATGACAGGAAGCGGCTGGTGGTCAGTGCGTTTTTGTCTTCCTGGCCAGCTTCCTGGCCCTTGCGCCGCTCACCCGCGATCGCGACAGCAGCGGCCTCGCTTTGCTGCGTCGTCACACTAACGAGGCATTGGCCCAGCTTCGAAATTTGGGGCGGACGGTGGACCACTGGGACGACTTACTGGTCCATCTAATGGTGGAAAAACTCGACCTGAAGTCCAGAGAGGCGTGGATCCATGAAATCCGCGCCGCCGTTGATCCACTCACGTACGCCAGTCTCGAGGAGTTCCTGGAGCTTCGGGCCGGGTCCTTCGCGGAGCTCAGGATGGCTCCGGAGCCATCGGCTACCTCCGCGGAGCGTAGGCCGGCCCGATCTCCACCACCGGTACGCTCCATCGCGATTGCGACGACGGCGGCGAGTCGTTGCCGGAAGTGCGGCGACAACCACCCGCTGTTCCGGCGCCCTGCGTTCAGGGGCATGGCGCTCAACCTGCGCCGGGATTTTGTTAGGGCGCGCGGTTGCTGCTTCAACTGCCTCCGATTGGGACACCCCGCGTCTTCGTGTCCCTTCGCGTCGCACTGCTCCATTTGTAACGGCTCGCACCACACCTTGATTCACCAGAATCCCGGGGTTGGTGCCGGGCCAGAGTCAACCGCGGTAGAAACCGGGCGGGATTCAGCGACGAACATCTCCGCGTCGTCCGCGGTCCACAACTGCGTCGCACGCTGGAGCGGGAACAGGGCCGTACTGCTCGCGACCGCTCTAGTATGGGTAGAGACACGCGACGGGGGGG